TTCTTACAGAAATATCATTTCTATCATATTAAACTCACAAAAAGTGTTTCAATCTGATCTCCCATAGAATTAAACCTATAAGTTTTATTCGAGTTATTTCATGACCCATTAAAACAGTCAACGGCTTGCGTACGTACACTATACCTGGATGTTAAAGATAATCAACTCTTTTTATCTATCAATTCGAAGGCTGATCAGGCTAGTATTCTTATGGCTTGATATCAATCGGAAATCAGTCCAACGTTAGGTCAAAATATTCGGGAAAAAAAACATTGGCCACACAAAGACATACCCAAGAGAATATTCTCGAGAGATGATTTAATAACTTCTTCTCCTTATACTTAGTAGATTTCGATTAGAATGATACAATTCGTATAATAACTAATACGATATTCTGAATCAACCTCCAAAGTTCAGTTGATTTGAGCAAGGATGGCGGAACGTTTTGAAATTGTGTGAGGCTCAATCAGAGATGTTCCGCGTGGATTTTGGAGGAGCTCATCACTCTCTCAATTTTGAAAAATTTTTATTTTTCTCTCGTGAAGTTTCAGCGTTTTAATCGTTTTCTTTGCTCACCAGTTCTCAAAAACTTGTTCCACTTCTCCCCGTACAGAAGACAGCCAAGCGACAAAATCGATTTTCGAGATTTGAGTCTACATCACAGCTAGCATTGGAGCTACTACGGTGCTGCGTTTAAGTGCATCCTGGATACTGCTTTATAGTGGGTGTCTGTTCAGCAGCAGGTACCAAAGTACGTAAATAGGTGGATATAATTGATAGGACCATGTTAGTAACATGTATATTTTAAATTGATGATTTACTTATATTAACTAGTTATTATATGGCTACACAATGTTATGTATTTAACATATATTACAGGCCATTTAGACTTTTGGGAGTTCTTTACACTATAATAAAATCCTAAACTTACACTCGGTATAGTAATGAAGATAACTACTGGTCAATAATTTAATTATTTCCTCTGAAAGTGTGTGGGTGTGGGTGTGAATGCGGGTATTTCCTTTGTAAAAACTATTATCCACACCGACGCTCACACCAATACCCACACTCTACCCTGTAGTCATTTGAGATTCAGCACGTTCAGGTGATAACAGACACCAACATGTAGATAAATAAGAATAAGAATTAAATCTTGCATTTATTTTAGAAATGTCAACCTCTGTAGACATCCCGACAACAAAACTCAGGCTCAGCTATGTTCACAATGCTTGCTCATTGCCTTTTCAATACAAAACTATTGCACAGAGTTTCGATGAGATTGCCTCGCAATATCCTGATTATGAATGCTACGTATTCAAAGGTATATCTGATCAATTGTATGTTGATATTACTGTTGTCTTGTTTCAATAGCCGCCAATAAACGATACACATATGCGACTATGAAAAATGAAATCGACTGTTTGTCAAAATCTTTTCTGGAACTTGGATTTCAGAGAGGCGATCGACTAGCGGTATCGTTGCCAAGTTGTTCTGAAAATGTTGTTCTCAGTTATGTGGCCTCCAAACTTGGCCTGATTAAGGTATGTAATGTCAACACAGTACGAAAATCAACTTTTTTTCTCGGATGCTTTTCAAAGTTGAACTTGAGGATATGGGTATGAATCTTTTCTAGTTCCACGACCACGCTCACACTCTAGACAGTATAATTTTACAATCAACGTCATAAACCTAATTATTTACTATATATAGAATAAATTATAGTGACTCGAGAGCAGAACAACTGTGGAACAGCAATGATTCAAATTCGACCTGATCGTGTCGAACCTTTTCATGTTCGTCAGAGGATACGATAAAACTTAGTTGGATCCATTCATCGAAATTTGTGGGATCTAATAAGGTCCTTTCTCGATTAAATCTTCTTTGGGTTCCTGACCATTGAGTTCCGGACTCCATCCGATAGAACTTGACTATTTTCGACATAATTCAGCATTAAATCTGATCGAATTCGAGAAGATTCAATGGTCAGATTTCTCCAACTGGGTACAAGCAAATCTTCAAACATGATGAGTCGTTTTTATAATATGGTTACATTCAATTGACAGGGAATATGGAGAGTATAAGTACTCAAGACTCATTCGAATCTTTGAGTATTTGTGGCTGAAATGTCGAATTTGTAGGGGAGTTTTCTTCCAGAGCACTAATTTTAAAGCAAAAACATCATTTTGAATTTCGATGTAGAACATGGTTTGTATAGGATCCCAACAAAAGTGACTTATAAAATAATTCCAGAATTTTTTAACAAAATCTCTCTAAGGTATGGATTCTTCGAAATATTCTTGTTTTTTAAAATAGCTGTGGCAATGTTCTTATATTTTGAAAATATCATATTTCTGAGAAATGTTATCAAGAATTCTGAAACTTTTCACAGACTGACTTAGTCTGGATCAGTACGCGATCAACGAAAGGATAGCACTTTCTGCACCTTTTCAGCATCTCAGGACCTTCTAACAGTTTTTGGTGCTGATGTACTGTAGCTTACCCACTTGAGTCAGCATTCCAGATAAAAATTCTAAAGTGCGACTTTGCTTCATAAGTAGGATCCTGAAGCAGAAATGTATTAATAATTCGATGTCTCGGTAACAAAAACTCGGAAAATCGAGCAAGTTCGGCGTATTTACCTAATCACCATGATCTATTAATTGAATATTGCTACAGTATAAAAGCGATTTATACTTTTGATAGAGCAGTTGACCTAATCGAGTGTTTCTATCTATCGGTTCACCATTTCAACGATGCTTGCGAGTCGAAGAGTCGAAAAGAGAAAAACACGTACGATGAGAAAAGCAAAACTTGACTTACCGACATATTTTGATCGACAGATTGCTTCGCCGATTATTCTATCAATCAGTTTGCCATCCTAATGATGATCCTCGACAGACTGACTAAAAAAATGTTTGATCTAAATCATGCATTGATACGAAATAAGTAAATATTTGATTGATTGACATAGTTGATTAGAGCTAAAGTGGCTTCTAGCATTAGTAAGACTATAGCCAAAAATGCAGTTAGTATTACTTTTAGTAGTTCAATATTGAAAGCAATATTCTTACACTTTTTATAGAAATCTAGTAATGAATGCAAAATTTCCGTACTAGATTCAGTTTTATCATACTACTGCCAGGTTATCCAGTACTCTACTCAGCAGTGAAATCGATAGTTAGTCAGTACTGACGAGAAAGATCTACCGACTGATAAATCGCTTTCCATTCGAAGCCTACTCGACTATAGGTAACCAACCATAGTGAATCCGAATATCAGAGTCTCAGCTGCTTATAGTCTTCCAGATACCCAAATTCTGAAAAAACTGTTTTTCTATAGAAAAAAAACTTCTTTTTCCAAAAAATATCCTGCTCTGCCCAAGTTGTAGAGCGCATCAAGTTGTCCATCGAAGTCTATTTTTTCAATTTGTGAACCATTCATGAATTCATTAAAACACTTAAAACTTGATATGTTTGTAGATTTTTAGTGGTTTTTGCATTTTCATCTCTGAGTGTTTTCCATATCAGATAAGGGGTTGCGTCTACAAATAATTGCTTTCTTTTTATATAGACAAAAAGTGGCTCTTGTTATGCAAAGAAAAAATATTCGTTGTACTAGAACTTAAAATACTTTGAAATTTCATCTGACAGAAGCGCAAACCGAAACCAAGAGACTATGGAAATTCGATTTAAAAAAAGTTTTAGTAATTCAACGTTTTCTGTAGATTGTGGGTGTGGATTTTTTAATGTTGCTTTTGAAAGTAACAACTAATATAATATAATCTGAAATATGCAACAGAGACGGATTAACAAGCCATTCAGAGATAAAAATGCGAAAGCAACTAAAACTCTTCAAAACATGTCAAGGTTCGCGTATTTTAGTGAACTCATTAATGGTTCAAAAATTTTAAAAAAAACAGATATCTATAGACAACTTGATGTGGTATACAACTTGGGTCCGAACAGAAATTTCTTTTGACAAAAGAAGTTATTTCCGTAGAAAACCAGCTTTTTCAAAACTTGAGTCTCTAGAAGCCTATAAGCAGCTGAGACTTCATTATTCGGATTCAGTATGGTTGGTTACCTATAGTCGACTAGGTTTCGAATGGAGAGAAATTTATCAGTTGATGTATCTTCCCCGTGAGTAGAACTGACTGAGTTCTAATACTAAGTGAAAGTGTTTTAGTACTGAACAATTAGTAAGGAGATTTGGATTGTCACTTCATCAATATAGATATTTTCTTCCATATGCTCTAAGAATAGTTCTCATTAGTTAAAGTATTTAAATGGGAAAAATGAAAAGCATTGACTTTTTTGTGCTCTTTGCTTTCAATTCTACGAATGCCTATGTGGAGAATCTCAGCAATTTAATCTACTTGAAAAATGAATTTTTTTGTCACGGATAAAATTAGTTTAACGATTTGTTCCTAGTTACACATGAATCCTGCTTACGTTGCACGTGAAGTGGCCTATGGTCTTAATAAAGTTGGCTGCAAGGGTATTGTAATTGCTGGAACCGATACTGCGCTAAGCACGCTGAAATTGGCAGTTACTGATCTCGAAGAAGAATCGTGGAAGAGTGTATCGACTCTCAAGCATATCGTTTTGGTGGGATTGGATCAAAATCCGCTTGCTGGTATTCGAAATACACATTTGTACAATGAATTGATCATACAAAACAAGCAACGTTCAACCCAACATGAAATACAGCCAGTAGACCCAGAACTGCCGCTGTCAATTTTTCTGACTTCAGGTTCAACGGGGCAACCTAAAGCGGTTACTTATACGAATTTCGGAGTGTTTAACACTATCGCAATGTTTACATTTCACTATGGTTCGTACATATCGCGGCATTGTTCACATCTAGCGATGCACCATATGTCCTCCGGTCTCTTGGGTTGTCTTCTGCCATCGGCGAATCGTTGCAAAATCATCATACCGTCTCCAAACCGTGATCCTGAAGCCACCATGTGTGCAATTCATGAGGAAAAATGCACATCTATGTTTAGTGATCCTGCATTCTTTCGCTTAATTCTGGCACATCCAAATCGACACAACTATGATTTGGGCTCGTTACAATATGTTGGTGTTGGCGCAACATCTGTGCAGCCAGACTTCTTGCGCATGCTTGAAACAGAACTTCACATAGGTCGAACTGGTCAAGAATATGGTCTAACCGAGAGTGGCAATTTTCTGACTAGTAGTCTCTATGTCGATCATAATGACAATCGACGGCATACATCACTTGGCCGATGTCTACCACATATTGAGCTCAAAATCGTTAACAACGATGGAACAACACTTCCAATCGGATCCGAAGGAGAAATATGGGCTCGTGGTTATTCAATCATGCGTGGCTACTATAATGACCCTGAACAAACGATAGAGGCTATAAATAATAGTGGATGGCTTCGAACAGGCGACATAGCTACTATGGATGAAGAGGGATACTTGTTCTTTGTCGGTCGAAAAAAGGACATGATTATTCAAAGTGGTCTTAATATTTATCCACTAGAAATTGAGCGAGCTATTTATGAACATCCAAGCGTAGCCGAAGTTCACGTGTTTGGCATTCCCGATCCTCTTATGGACGAAGTCGTATGCGCATTTGTGGCGCTCAAACCTGGAATGACATGCGAAGCTGAAGAACTTAAGATATTCCTTAGCGACAAGTTATATGCATTCATAATACCAAAGCACATTCAATTCGTGGATGATTTTCCCCGAACTTCATTGGGCAAAGTTCCTAAGTACAAACTCGTCGAGCATATGATCAAAGCGTTAAATAACTGATATAAAGTATGCCACTTAATCAATGAAATCCTTTTGTAG